CACTCTAATATTTCGTTGGACTGCCTTTAGCTTTGATTACAGCTCACATACGCTGTGGCGTTGTTTGGATAAGCTTCTGCAATGTCACAACATTTATTTCCATCCAGTGTTGCAGTAATTTTTCACAAAGATCTTGCATTGATGATGTAGAGTCTGACCGCTTCTCCAGCACATCCCAAAGATTCTCAATGGACTCTGCGGAGCCAATRCATATGTGAAAACTATGTCTCATGCTCCCTGAACCACTCTTTCACAATAAGAGCCCTTTGAATCCTGGCATTGTCATCTTGGAATACGGCCGTGCCATCAYAGAAGAAACAATCCATTYATGGAATAACCTGGTCAGTCAGTTTATTCAGGTAGGCTGACCTCATTCTTTGAGCACAAACTGTTGTTGAACCTAGACCTGACCAACTGCAGCAGCCCCACATCATAGATCTTAGTTAAATCCAGGTGGACACTTTTTTTTTTCCAGGCAGTGTAGTTTAATTGTCTTTTTAGTCATGTATTTATTTATTTTTTTCTAAAGCTTTAGTTTTGAGGCTCAAAAATTTTATGGATTAACTAAGAACGTTGTTTTTGTAGGACAAATTCATTGTGATAAATAATTAATCACAAGTTGAAACCATCAGAAACACGAGTCTTCCTAATGTAGGTGCCCTACCTGAGAAATGTGGGAACAAATATTGCCAGGGGAGCTGGATCTGGTGAGGTCCCCAGGTCCCAGCTCATCCAGGGGTCTCACTGTGCGTCTGTCTGAAGGCGTGTGAGGCCTGCGCGGGGACAGGGGTTTGAAGGGCGACGGGGACGAAGGCGGCACTTCGCAGGGCGACGGAGGGACCGAGATGGAGCGTGGCATTTCCACGGTGACTCTGAAAGAGTCGGTGAAGTTGGAGCCGGTGTAGATGGGCGCGGTGGGGCTGCCGTGACGGAACTGCTGCCGCTGCTGCCACTCGTACAGCTGCCACACCATCCCTTCCTTGGAGGCCATCCGCTCGTCTGTGGACATGCGGAAGTGGCTCAGCCGGTCGTGGGCATACTTATAGTCACTGGGCAGGTTGCCTGAGGCTGGAGGGGAGCTGCTGCCTGACAGGAGACGGGGGGACTTTGGTAACGAGTGATAGGTGACGTCTGTTGTGCTGGATTTGGGCTTTAAAGGAGGAGTTCGCCGAGTGAGGTTGTACTCAGCAGAGGGAGTACTGAGATGGAGAAAGACATTAAAAACAAATTGATTTTGCTAACACATATAAAATAAAATACAGTACTTTAACCACAATGATGAAAAAAAGTGAAAAAGTGGTTCTCTTCTCTTCCACTAGATGGAGCCATTTACTCATGATGGTTCTATCATTCATGCTGATAAATTAGACAGTGATGGGTTTAAAGCGACTGACCTTTTTGTTGGGTCCCCTTTATGAACTTTGACCCACTGCTCCACCTGAGCCAGTGTATTCTTCCTCTGCACATGTTTGTCAGAGTCCATCCGGGAAACAAAACCCCTCTGATAAACAACGTTTCCGTTTTGCTCCGGCGGCAGAGCCACTTGAATCACAGTCTGCTGCCCGTCTTTGTGGGCGGCGCCACCGACAGAGTCCGGAGACAGTCTTCCTATTCTGTCCTGCGGGGTCGACTGAACAGACCTCCCGTGAATCTCCAACCCGTACCTCCCCTCGTCACCGTGAGCCAGTCTGATACCGTCCTCCTGAGCTCCTTCCCGCTCTGTCCTGTGAACACTTATGGGTTTAGGTAAGTTCTGAGGGACGTGGACGTGGTTCGTCTGTGGAACGGCTTGCTGAGCAGCTTTCTCTGGCTTCTCCACCTCTCTGTAAAAAAGTGACATAAAAAAACTGGATGTAAAAATGCATTACAATGTTACATAGAGCTCAAATGTTTTTTAAACAAGCTGAGGTATGGAAGTATGTTTGAGCAATGTGTTTTGTCCAAAGATGTGCATCAGTCCAACATATGACAATGGGAGACATATTCTCGAAGGTGACGTTTGGACTTTCTTTAAAGCCCAATAAAGGTAAACATTATGTTTTCTTGCCAAATAATTTATAAGCTTCAACTGGAATTACTAATTTCCCCTTTTCTTCTTGTTCTGATTCTATATTAGGACGTTATAGTTTTTGGAATAATCCATTGATTTTTTATTTTTTTTGTAAGCACCAAATCGTTCAGAAAAACTTAAAAACCGTAGCAGAATTTTATTTTATTTTTTATGGAAGCTGGAGGAGATCACTTTTTATAGTATAGTTTTTGTTTAGTTTTGTATTTGTCATTTGACACTTAGCCGAGTCTGTAACAAGGATAAACAATTGGAAATACGGTTGTACTGGTCTAAAAAAAATGGGTCTAAAAAAAGTAAGTTTCTCTTTTCCTTCCCACCATTGTGGTTATTGTTTAAATAAAAGTATTTTCTGAACATAGGCTACATTTTTTTTTCTGTTATGAGTTTAAGTGAATAAATTGCCGCTGCACTTGGAGGCACGCTGGGGGGGGATAAGAGCTTTGCTTGCAGCTAGAAGAAGTCTGTGTGTACCATTAAAAACAACTTTATACTTTTTTTCTTTGGGCTGCGTCTTTTGGCTTCAACCAAGCATTTTTATTAAATAGGAAACTAACTCATAGGCCAAAAAAAAGCTCTTTAAAAACAACCGTTGAAGGGATCAGCCCATCGATGGTTGATAAATTCATCCAATCACCCAAACTTACTTTGAAGTATTTAATCTTACAACCAACATCCACCGTTGACCTCTACATTTTATTCWGATTAAATATAGCACCATTCTTGAGACATGAAACAGTGAATAGTGAACACAATGGATGATTAATCCTGAGTGAACCAAGAAGTAATTTCTCCAAATATTAGCAAGATTACCTTCACATATAATCACATTCATTACATGATAACACCTCCAAGGACGTGCAGAGCAAAGAGAGAGATCCAATAAATTTCACTTCACACTAATTTATATTTTTCAGCAACAGGAGAGCTGAAGACCAGAGCTCCTAATGAGGAGTAAATCCTCAGAGAATTTTAATGACAGACAATTTGCCTTCATCAAATACCTCGCTGCAGCATGCCACAGTCTGTGATAGAACTCGCTATTAATTCATTTTTGTAAGTTTAAAAATGTAAGAATAAATAATAGCTGCATGTTTGCTAACTGAGGTATATGTTTTCATGCATGACAGTAAGTGAATGACCCATAAAAGTGTTTCACATAATAAAAGTTTAAATTTCAGGGGGCTGCAATGTTAAGAGAGACATTCAGCCACCCCAACTTAACAGAAAAATAAATCACTAAGACTGGCCTCTAGGGGGCAGTGTTGCACAAAACATTTAAAGCATGCAGTATGTCTGTCCCATCACAGAGGTCCAGATGCAGTTTGTGGTGCATTTACAACAGATGCAGCACTGCTGCAACGAAGACTGATAACTGGGGCGCCTTTCTGCAAACAACTGTTCAAAAGAAAACTGAACGTGAATTATTTTTCTAACTTGTCAAGTGGATCTAATAAACTACATTACAATATTTAACAAGCAAAGGACAGAAAACACATATTAGAGGCATTTTAGCTTTTCAAACCTTGTTAAAAAGGCTGTATCTATAATTAGAAATTGTGCATAAATATACATTAATTAAAATACTATCATTGCTTTTTGTAAAACACAAATTTCATTTGCTGTTCAAAAGGACACAAACTGAAAATGTTTATTTTTTTCTTTTATGCTGTAATTTTTCCCCTTTATGTTACTTCGTATAAAATATGTGTTGTTTCTTTTCTAATTAAAGATATTCAGTCCCAAAAAACAAGAACCGCTGCACTTTATGAACAAAACAAGGAGAAGCCCAACCAATTGGAAAAGTGAACTGCAAGCAAGACCAACCTCTTTACAGTGTGGCTCTGCTGCATTAGCGCAGCCTGGTTCATGGCCCGGATCCAGCCATTCATGTCCTCCTGTGTGTCCGCACTGAAGAAATACGTCCGCATCCCGCAGTGTTCTGCCTGCGAGCCAATCACAGAGTTCTTATTGTAGATGTAGGAGCGCATTCCAGTATGGCTCGCCTGTCAAAAAAGGGAGATATCGAGAGGTATGAGAGGTGAGATAAGATACTTTTGATTTTTTTTTTACTGAAGAGAAGATAAGGAGTGACAAACTTCCCTGAGAGCTGTCAACAGAGAGAAGTTTGCTTTATTAAATCAAGATGGGGAGCAAAGTGCTGCAGCAGAAACAATTTGTAGGTTTGCTGTTTCTGGGAAGGAAAAATATACAACATAGGTTACATCTTTCATTTTCCACTAAAATGTTGCATTCCCTTTAGCAAACAGAACGTAGAAGYAACAGTCATACTTGGTAATATGATTTACGGTTGGGGGATCCATTTACGCCTTTCAGGGTACACACAGCAAATAGACAAAAAGCTTCATTGTGCAGAATTTCCCAAGTCATTCAATATTTACAAGAACGCCATTTTATTGCAACTATTGTTTTTACTTAAATGTAACTTGTACATATTCTGTGCATAGTTTTTATTTTCTATCATACAGAAAAGGAAGAACAAAGTACTGTAAACCCTGCGTAGTTTCATTACAATGTATCATTTATCCATGTTTTCTCTTGGTTATTTCACATCATACTTTACACTATTTTATTATTCTGAAACAAAGAGCAGGGTTTTTATAGGTTCAGCACATTAGGCTTTATAAAAGGGTGCAAGAAGGAAAGCATTTAATGTATTTTAAGGACACACTGCACATTCATCATACATACTGCAAGGACAAAACACCTCCTATAATAATAATAATAAAGCCCTTTCACTGCAATGAATAATTGACTTGGTGATTTTCATGTTTTTTTTTTTTTTGTTGTTGTAAACTGGAATGTCAGAACTGAATCTGAGTTTGCTTGAAGAGATCCCCGATTAGTTGTAACATTAGACTTTATTTGATAAACATTTATTTTAGCAGTAAAATAAAGACTGTAAAAATACTGTAGGATGTTCAGTTTTTATCATTTTTAAGCTAAAAGTTAAAAAATTTATTACACGGACAGGGCCATTTTATTTACATGCAAAGCATTCTGGGTAAATGATGACGTGGATAGGTCCTTGGTGCGAGGCTGCTAGCGAGCTATATCCACACTGAAGGTTAATCTCYGACAATATCTGACAATTGGCTCTTTTAAATGAAACCAGAGAGCGTTGACAGAGAGGAGAAGGTAGAAATGACTCAGTCTGTAACTGAAAATATAGATGGAGGACAACAGAGCTGCTTCATGGAAGAAGAACCTCABCTTAGCCTGTTAGCTTTAGCGTTAGCCCCAAAGCTATCACCATATATGTATTAGCTCAGTGCTACACATTCTCCTCTTGTCGCTGAGGTCCTCCATCCACATGACAGAGAGGGGAACACAAAATGACTCAACCTGCAACTGAAAATATGGATGGAGGACGTCAGTTTAGCTTGTTAGTTTGTCACGCTAGAGCCAAGCTAATATAAGGCAATATAGTGTCAGCGCTAGCGCGAAGGCTAACAGACTAAGCTGAGGTTCTTCTTCCATGAAGCAGCTCTGTTGTCCTCCATCTATATTTTCAGTTACAGGCTGAGTCATTTCTACCTTCTCCTCTCTGTCAACGCTCTCTGGTTTCATTTAAAAGAGTCGATCATCAGATATTGTCCAAGATTAACCTTCAGGGTGGATATAGCTCGCTAGCAGCCTCGCACCTATGACCTATCCACGTCATCATTTACCCAGAATGCTTTGTGTGTAAATAAAATGGCTCCGTCCATGTTGAAATATATTTTTAAAAATTTACAAAACTAAACATCCTACAGTATTTTTACAGTATTTATTTTACAGTTAAAATAAATGTTTATCAAATAAAGTTGAATGTTACAACTAATCAGGGATCCCTTTTAAAGGAAAAATTATCAACTATTGAGGTTCATTATTTCTCAAAACAACCAACTGACAGCAATCATTCTATAATTTATTTATTACTTTAAGTTTCTAAGTCAGCCCTTCCTCAATATAAAGCCATCATATCATCATAAACAAAACATTTGTGCATCTGTTGTTGACAAACAATACTAAACTATTGCATGTATGGCATGGGACGAACTGCTGATGGCAACATACATTCGATGAACTTCAAGGAATGTAGAAAAGAATGGGGGGAAATAAAGACCAATCACGCCCACCAATAATGAAGAAAAGCAATAAGTGATATGCAGCTTGACGAGACAATTACCAGAGCTGCGTAGAGTAATACAGTCAGCAATACAGTCAGAACTGGAAAAATAGGCATAATGGGAAATGAATTGCTTAATACATACAGTATCTGGGCTTCTGAGTGTGTTCCCTTCCACACTGCAGAAATATTGAATCTGAAGTGAATCAATGGCCACCGCCTGTTTGCATAAACAGAAGGTGTTGTCTTAAAGAATTAAGGGACAAGTTATGTCCTGCACTGCATACGCAATTTTCTGGGTCAGATTTGCCCACATTTTAACACAAACCTATGAGCAGTTATGTATGCATGTGTTCCAACTGCATGGAATAAACAAAATAAAAGTTTATAAAACCATTAAAAATCAGATCAACTCTGGCATTGTCTGCAGGTGACTTACTGTAGCCATGCCTGTTTATGATTCGATGCATATTCGAAAACCGCACACTCGAGCCACCATGAGCAGAAATGAGGTGAGGATGGTGATCTACCGATGAGTCTAAAGTAAAATCAAATACCTATTCATGCAAGACAGGAAGCCTGTGTGACTCAGGACGGCCGCCCGCAGAGACCAGTACTCACTCCGCCCACGCAAACACACCAGGTCACAATGGAAGGCAATTGACCAACAGGGAATGAGAGAAACACAGTGAGATGAGCAAAAACAGGAGAACAGAAAGCAACAGGAAGTTACAGCTGATCAGAGGTGACTCAAATAGAAAAAAAAAACGATATGACTCCATCTGTGGTATTCTGGCATCACAAAAACAAAAATGGGTAACAGAGCAGCAATGTAGGTATTTCAATACTTTACTAAAGCTCTCAGATTGACAAATTCATCTGCCTAGACGTAATCATGCTCTTATAGCAATATCATACATTTAAAGTCCCTCAAATCTATGGAGCAGACTCTTTAATGCATGATGGCTCAAAAAGAGTCGAAGAACGAAGAGTCGAAAAACATTGGTGGAGCTCTTCAAAACAGGGTGATACAGCAGAACCATGGCTCATTATCTAATCTAATCTTAATATTTCCCCATTTATCAAAAGGGAGGAGACAGTGAACAGGCTGAAGGGAAGATTAATACTCCAAGAGGAGCAATTATCATGCAAATTCTATTGTAAGGTCATAAAGTGCAGGAGCTACATACCACCCAAGCACACACACACATATTCACACTGCGTACACACTGACACGTTTCCACGCTCAATCCAAGCACAACAAAGTACAACGGAGCTGAAAGAGTTGCAACAGAGCGCCCCGGAGCTGCAGTGGTGCATCAACCATTCAGGCACTACTGTTCCCTGCAGCAGTCTGTGTTTCTACAAAAGATACTGTCCTCCGGCAGAATTCACAAATAGATCATTTAATGTCTGCAAGTCAAATTAATAGGGTACGATTTTAGGTGAAAGTGATAAAATTATGTTGTAACGTACTGTCACTGCAAGAAATAAGATTTTCCTTATTAGGAATAGAAAAAATGTTAGTGCAACTTGACTTGAACAGCAACGCCTGACATATTACACGTATTATTTTTTATTAAACAAAATCTAGATCACATTGTGGACAAAAACAGCAGCCTTGACAGGTTTTCAAAATGCATCTGAACAGATCACAAGACTTGTGGAACAATGTCCTTTAGGTATGGAGAGAGGAAGAGAAGAAGAGTGGAGTTGTTTGCTCGTAATGTTCAGCATCACATTTGGCAAAAGACCAACAGCAAATCAGCACAGACACCTACAACCAACTGTCGATCATCAACTCCTCTATGTACAGGAAGTAGTCTGAATTCAAATATCAGGCCATCTGTGGGACGACTGAAGCTGGGCTAACATGCAACATAAAAATCCTAAACACATCAGCCAAACTGATAAATTTATATATAAAAAAACTACAATAAGATTTGAGACTCTACAATCATTTTAATGATGGGATTTCTTTAACACCATTGCTACATCAGGAGATTGTATAATTCCAATTCTAAAAGCTGAAAATTAGTTTTCTTTTTTTGTTAAAATACATAAAACTTTAGAACTAAGACAGTTTGAACTTACATGCATCACAACTGAAAGTTGCTAATCAAGATTTGGTCACAGATCAAAGATTAAACAATTTGCAAATTGTTTTAAAAGACTGAAAGACTTCAACACTAACTCAGTTCACCTGTTTGTATGAAGCATTTGATGCGGATTAAACAATCTGCAATATGACATGATCATCAACTTCCTAGCTAATCATTGTAGTGCAAAATACAGCTACAGATGTAAAATAATTGTTAAAATATCGAAGTAAAATAGCAGGGTATGATTTAAAAATGTTTATTAATCAGTCCTTTTTTCGTAAAGTAAAAACTTCCATCATGTCTTACTTTTTTCTTCATCTAACTTTCTCACAGTTAGTGTTTTGTATTATTTTTCCACATAAGGACATTAGGATGAATGAAATGATTAATTATGGTTGTAATATTTAATCAAAAACTGATATGTTGATCACAAATAGAAATGGGACTGATCCAATCCAGTATCAATATTGGGTTCTGATACAAACATAATTAATGGATCGGAATTTTCCAAACCAATCTGGGGAGATTTCCGATCCATGAGCCYTGTCGGTGCTATTTGTCTGATGAAAGGACTCTGCTAGCTGGCTGCTAACTGTGGAACGAATTTCCTGAATGGAGGCAAATCTCAATGAGACCGAAGTAATGAGATACACACACGCACACATATGTTTGCCCAGCTATACATTTGGGGACATTCCATTGACTTCCATTACATTTCTACAGCCTAACCCTGACCACAAACCCTAAGGCTAACCTCACAGGTACCTACCTGACCCTAAAACTAACCTAAACTCAATTCACACCTTAGTCCTAAACCCAACCCACCAATGGCATTTAAACCAAATGGGGACTCGACTTTTTTCCCCAAATGCACCAGTTGTCCCCAAAGGTAGGATTTTTGTCTTAAAATTGCCCCCAAATGTCACCAGAAACACCCCCCCACACACACACACACACACACACATTCACACCTGTTCCACAGTTTGCAGCCAGCTAGCAGGTGAGCAGCTTTGTGGCTAAAGCAACTTTTCAACACATCACTCTGTGTGTTTAAAAGTAGACTTCAAACTATTCATCACTTTTTAAATTGTGTGGATAGATTGAAGTAAAACCAGAGTTATGATAACGGTTATCAAACATATTTTTTTTTGTTTCGCTTTTTTTTTTTTGTAAATGATCATTTTGCAAAATGTTGTTGCAGCGCGACGCAACAAGAAACATGGGCAGACTCGTGGCGAATACACTGCAACTCCTAAATCAGTCTCAGCCTTTCTTCAAGCTGAACAAACTTCCTGAGCAAATCTCCTCCTTTCTGTCCTTTCTGACTGAAGCATAAAGATTTTTGTCAAGCATCAAAACATTCTGCAGCAGGAGGAAGAAAAAGATGCTAACTTTGAATGAAGTTTGGTGGCGATGGAGAGCAGAGTGATGAAATCTGTGAAATCTGTCATATTTAGCTGGTTTGGATTTTATAATTAAGGTGTAGTTGTGTGTTTAGTATTTAGTTTAGTCAGTTTCAGTGTGTTTGAGTGAAAAGTCAATTTTTGAAAGTGAAACTGCAGCTTCTGTTTGATAGGGTTGGGCATGATCGTATCGTGTGCAATTAATTGTAAGAAAAACAATCAATTACTTTTTGGCACTTAACGATTAATGCCAGCAGGCAGACTGACTGGGGTTTACTCCGATCAGTCCGCTCGGTGCTCCTCTCCGCTTCAAATATGACGAATATTAAAAATAAAGTTCTGTAATTTATTTATCTATCAACACAATTTAAAATATAATGTACAGCCTGAACTCTGTAATTTTCACACAATTTGGAACAGATTTTTACAAAGAGCAAATCTTGCCCACTAAATTGGTCATGTGACTACAAATTCAGGCTGTCCAGGGACTCCAGGGGATTAATCGTCAAATTAATCGTTATCGGCTAAACACCACTCTTAATCGTGATTAATTTTTTTGCCAATATTGCCCAAGCCTACTGTTTGAGGAGGATGGAGATTTGCTAAATTTCTTCACATTGTTATGAATATAACTAGTTATATATTTGTAATCTAAATTATATAAAATCAACAATAACGTAATAATATTTAATAAATCGTGATGATTATGACTAGGATGATGATGATAATAATAATAATAATAATAATAATAATAATAATAATCGGATAGAGCATGCCTAATCACAAGTGCATCTTATAAAAATATCTTGACTTCAGAGATACAACCAGCTGTTCAAAGAAAAATAAGAATGTCAAATAAATTTAGCATAAAAAAATTTAATGAAAGCTACCTGGCACATAATAACATCTTAAATAAATCTGTTTCAGTGCCATCTTTGTGTTACCTTGAAAGCATATTTGCGGTTTATGTGGTCTTCAGGCTCAACTGGTGCAATGACATAACTTGGCAAAGGGATGCTACCGAGCACTGTTTCTTCTCTGCTGTCTGTGAAACAAGAAAACACACACATACACACACAAATAAAGACAAAGGCACAGTTACACACGTTCAAAACAATACCTAACACTGCTGAGCTATGCTATAATGTTTACGAGCAACGACGTGTCTACAAACAGCAGGGAAATGAGTGAGGCATAATTCATGGATGACTCTTGTCTCTTCAAAGCCATGTGGCAGCAGGTGGCATGATGGGGCATGTGGTTTATCTATTATTCAGGATGATTAATAGAGGAGAGGAGAGGTAGATTCCATAGCAACACAAGCAGAGATTAAACCCTACAATATAAAGCTCAACTTAATAACATAGGAAAGGTTAGAGTCAGTGAAAGCCTGGGAGTCATTACTCTAAAGGAGGAGAGGAGATCACAGAAGGTCTGTGTGGTTTATTTTAGGATCACACTCTGACCAAATGCACTTTCTGCACACTCACCTTTGTAGTAAAACAAGCAGTAGTCTGACAAAACAAACCACTTCCGTTTCCACAGTCGCATTCCAGAGCTGTCCTGGAGGTGAAGGGGGGAGAAGTAGCACAAAGTGTATTTAGAAATCTCCCTCGCCGGAGCGCATTTTAATTCTCGTCTCAATTAAAAAGGGGAGTTTGGGAATCGCACGCTCATTAGCCCAAGTGGAGGGAGGGAGGGTGCATCATGTCAGAACAATAACATGATGTCACGTTTGGCACGAAGCAGATTCTTCATTTTGTTCAACGCTGTCGTATTTTTCCGAGGTAATGTAAATAAAAGTACAGGCAATCCAAAACTTGCGTTTTTGTCGAACATCAGATTAAGTGAAAGATAAGCTTTGACTGATTTATCCACATTATTTTAAATGTGCTAACTGTTTAATCTAGCTAAAGAGGAGGAGAGGAACCTCAGCTCACCTGTTTGTAGAGCCAACCTCTTACTACTACTGGGATGTTCAGGTTTCTTTTAATAGCATGATCCCTCTTGCCAAAGCTGTGTACTTTCCCAGTTCCTCTGGAGCTCTGCAGGGAATCAAAGAAAGCCCTCATTCAGTAAACTGTGGTGACTTTCCACAAGCACCTAGATTAGAGAACCGATGCTTACCTTTGACCCTGAGGCGACATCCACTGCACCGGAGGTCACAGCCTTGGAGGATTCTGTGACCATGCTGGGAGACCTCTGATTGGCTGCGGACTTGGACATACGGGACTCTACCCTGCTGCTGAGAGGTGAAAGATGATCAGTAACACAGAAGAGATAAAATTGAAGTTCTTTCTTTTCTCCTGCTGWGACAGGCTGTGAAACACAGAGCAGATCTGTGCTGAGCTTTCAGATATAAAGGATGTGACCGTTTCCTGCAACCAACATGAGCTTTCTCACAGCCAATGGTTTTGCAGTGAATGCGCCAAAGAGTGGAAACAGCACTCTAGTAATACTTTCCCTGACCTCATAGCACACATCTTAAACACACACCAAAAGCAATGCAAATCAAATATTAGCACATATTTGCGTACTTGTTGGACAAATCAAATATCAACATAAAACATATATTACTCTTTTTTTTTTCAAGGTTCAAACAAAATCATTCTGAAAATAATACATCACAGACTGTTCAGCTGAAAGGTTGGGCTTGGCTTTTTGTATTGCAGATTTCTTTTTGAGTTATTAAACCACAGCTATGATTATTCCTCATTGGTATTTCTTCCATTTATGTTTGCTCAAGTAATTTTCCATTTCATAACAGTCAGTAGACTCCCTCCTTTTTTTAAGACAGTTTGTGATCTAACACAAAATTCTGGTGGATAAAAGGAGACATGAGGCTTTTATTTATTTATTTATTTATTTTACATTTAAATTACTCAGTTGGGGTCTATAGAAAGTGGAACTGCAATGCTTTGGTTTGAATTCCTCCTTATTGTAACTCCACAATTCCCCCTTTCACCCCTTTTCTGAGGTGTGTCTCAGATCAACTTGTTGTCAGGCTGTCTCTTTAAATACAATCACCCTGCCTCCCTCCAACTTCCATTCCAGTTTGATAGAGCGATTTATGACTATACAGCGGCACAGAAACGTTTTATTTACAAGTTAATTCAAAGGGGTAATATTATGTGTTTCTCATACAGTATTTAAATTCTATACCATAATAAAGTATCTATGTCACCTTCAGTTGTTATTAAAATGTTGTTTATATGTTAAAATAGAAAATAAACCTGACTTTTCATCATATCTGTTTCTAAACACCTTGAAATTGGCCTCTGTCTCTTTAAGAACCTCCTTCTGCTTGTGCCCCACCCATTTCAGCACTGGGTGGGTGTGTGTGCTCTGTGATCAGGAAGCTCAGCTTGGAGACACAGCCCAGAGGAGGAGCTGATCCCAAAAGGCGGTTCTAGGCCCAACCGGTCATTTCTGCTCCCCTGCCTGGCTGCCTCAGGACACTACAGGATTTCTCAAACATGCATGAATGAGTCAAAGCAAGGCTTTTGGCATACTGTATTTTTGATGAGAGGATAACATTATAACATAATGTAAAACTCAAAAAAGTTGATTTTACATGATATTGCCCAAAGAGAGGAGAATGGAGACGACAAATTGTAGTAGGTGGGTCCATACATTATTTGTCAATTACGTCACAAATAATTTGACGTAATAGTTCAGAAAACATCATAGAAAATAAAAGAATGCWGAACGGGTTGAAAATTTTTACCCAAACAAAATATAATGATATCTAAACAGCACCAGAAAAGACTGAATTCCATTTTTTATTTTTGCACAACTGGAGACTCCAAGTACACAACAAAATGGATTTAATAGCTATAAAAGTAGATTTTGCATAATAGGCTCCCTTTAAATGCAGAAGTACACTGTGATAGATTTTTTATAATTACATGATCATAAGTAATTTTTATTTTTAGTCGATATTAGTAACTCAGAAATTAAAATGTTTGCAATCTGCTTTTCCTTTTTTGTGATGATGCTCAGGCAGCACATTAACTTTCAAAGCTGTGTCTGAAGTTCATTGGAGCTTTACTTGCTGTCATTTATTACTTTTTTCCCATTTCAGACAAAAAGTAATGTCAGCACTTTAGCTATGACTAATAACTTCTGAAAAACCACTTGAAGTAACAAATAGTTGCATGTGGCCTCATGAGTCAACAGCATATGTTACTGTCAGAATTACAAGTAAATAACAGAACTTATGAAAAAAAGCTAGATGCCTTTTTTTAAGCACCCACGTTACGTTATTCACAGAACAGCCACCAACAACTTGTTTTGAAATACTGGGTATAATTGTTGCAGTTTTACATAATGTTACATCACATTTTTTCAAAGACTTGCATCAGACGCTCTAAACAAAAAACTTGATTAAAATCAGAGCAATGACAATAAATAGGTGCAAGTATGCTAATGACCGACAACACTCCCTTTATGCTGCATTGTGTTCAGTAAACCTTATGTTTAGTGGGTAATAAATGTGTGGGAAACAGGAGAAATAAACCTTGAAATTAATCTTCTACCCTACAAGAACTACTCCTAATTTGATAAAGAAAGGAGTTAATAAAACAAAGCATGTTGCTATTTCCCGCCCCCTTGGTGTACTCCTAGGCTTAATCTACGAAGAAGGTAGGGATGCTCGTCAAACAATAGGGAAAAAACACCAGCAGAATAAAGAGGACATAAAAACCTGAAACAACACAGGAATCCAACCTGCAGTCACTCTGAACTCACAGCTTGGACTAAGGCCAGCTTTTTTACAGGATATGTCTGTCGTATCAAGAGGACGCTGCTGTTTTATGTGAAGCTTTCATACTGTTTACCACCATGGTCATTGAAACAGTTCCCCAGGAGATTTGTTGTGGCATGTGGAAGAGCAGAGCTATATTTCATGTAGTGCGGCGCAGAAAGGGGAAAGTCACAGTGCTCCGATTTCCTGCTTGTCTTGCTATGATGGAAACAGAAGTATACTGTACTTGACATTTTTAAACCCTTTTGGGTGCTGTGTGTACATGAGAAGAGATAATTAATTGATCACAACATAATAATCTATAAAAAAGTCGAAGACTTCAGGCCATTAAAAACGCTAGCTGATCGACCTCTCTGAGAAAAGGCCCTCTTGATGCTCCTTCCTGCTTTCAGGCTGTCCTCATTCTAATCCAAACCTCCAGAGAGTACCCTGACTTTCTCTTTATACTAAAGTCATTCATAGAGGATACCCATAAAGTTAATACTTTATTTAGAACAAATCCCATAATATCATCATACTAAAGAGGGGCTAAATACCAACATTATGCTTTTGTATCAGGCAAACATAAACCTGTTGTTGTGGAAAAGTAAATTATTATCATGAACTAAAAGTCAGAAATCTGTGCCTCTTTTAATCATACATTTAATATTGTCCTCAGACGCCAAACCCTAAGTAATTTTTAGGGTTTGTTATAAACAGTGTACTGTAAAAACTTGCAACACTTAAATAAGCTAGACTGTAATTTTGTTCAACATTTAGATTTAAGAGTAACAAGCTGAATTATTGACGAAGGGGGTATTATGATTTTCCAGGCACATAGTTCAATTATATACCCCAATCAAGTAACTATGTTACCTTCAGTTGTTCTAAAAATGCTGTATATATCAAAAATAAATTTGACTTTGCATCAGATTGTATCTAAACATCTTGAAGAACCTCCTGCCATTTCTGACATTCCCACTTCAGCACATCTTCACAGCCATGCTTCAGGGGAGGGGTGCTCTGTGGGATGGAAGCTCGGCTACAGACTGAGCTCCAGGAAGGAACTTTGTACAAATAGGTGGAGCTTTGTACAAGCAAGCGTTTAGTCAGCTCCAAATGGCTACCACAGGAGATTCAAGGATTTCTCAAAGCAACACTCTGGGTAGGTTTTTGACAAGGGAATGACATTATAACATGATGTAAAGCTCAAAAAGCCAATTTTGCATAACACCCCCCTTTTAAAAGTACTTGTTCTCATTCAAAATGCCCTGATACCCAGAACTGATACCAATTTTTTGCGTGGACATTTGCTCACATTATAAATGTGACCTTCATTCATCTCCAGTGTGAACGCTTTATACCATCAATGTGACTAGTAACTGTAGTATTAGTATTCCTACTCTGTTTGAAAAAAACTAGTATCTGGACGTCTCTAATCAAATACAATCAGACTATTTTAAATCCCTGCAGATTCAAAGTTTCACAAATTTGATGYCAAAGTTGAAAATAGTGCGAGCCTCAAAAATGTCACAATCCTTCGGGGGTAAACAAATTCAGGTAACATGAGAAGTAGTGTTTTTAGATGGTGTTGGAAAGAGTAGCTTACATGTAAGTAAGTCTATTTATTCAATCTTAACTTCACACTTGAGCAGAAAGTTAGAATAAAAGCCAAAGTGTGTACCCTTCAGTACAATGTTACTAAAACCTTGTTACACTTTGAAAGAACATGTATATAAAGTATAGGGTAAGAAGGTTTACAGTGCTAAAAATGCAAGAGAAGTTTTGAACTCTGGATGSTTTACAAATCCAAGGCTTATCAGAGCTGAACTAAGGATAAAGGTGATTTTCAAGATATAAAATTCAGTGTASACTGCAGATGGATCCCATCAATCAGTTAGTTGTTCTCACACAACAGCTTTATAACACTGGGAATAGAGACCATGTACTCATTTCTTTTTATGCTTCTGCTCAAAGTAGAGTCTTTGCTGTGCACGATGGTATCACACGAGACAACTTAAATACGATCAGACACCTGCTGCCTCGAACTGTGCGCTAAACCTGCCACYCAGCTCTGATTGCTTTGCAGGATGAGATTCACACGGCAACATAAAGTCACTATAAATCCCTCCACCATGCCAGGATGGAACATATGGTCATGAATGTAAACAAGGCAATGCTGCTTTTCTAGTTCATTTCTTCAAACATTCCAGCAATTCCCAACAAAATCAGCAAAAGCAATTGCGTTTTTGACTTCAGAGAAACAACTGTGATGGAAAAAGCACTAAGTACCATTATAATCAAGACAACATTTGCACTTTTGGGCAGACTGATGAGTCAGATTCATTAGACCAGATATGAACATACCCAAAAGCAATTGCAGGTTTCAGATGTGTCATTACCATAGAGACTACTCTGGTAATAAGGAGATGAACAAAGCTAATAAGCCTCCAGGACCCAAATTTGCTATCATGTTTTTTGCAGTTATACTGTTAAAGAAGGGATTAAATTCAGCCTGATTAGAAAAGTGGGTGCCTGCATGTATACCCTGACTATGACTGGAGCTGATTTTACTCAAATACTGTATTTATTGATAAAACAGACCCCTTCTATATTCTTACGTTTAAACATCCATCACATGTTCATGCAATAATTATTTTATCATCATGCAGCACAGAGATCAGCTCACCTGTCTTGTAATGTGTATTCGATGTTATCAGGTGAAATCTGTCCTGTCACAGGATGTCGAAATGAGGTGGTCTTCAGGTTGTGGCTGCAGCAAAGAGAAAGAAACACATGAATAATGCATAATGTCAGCAACCATACTCCTGCCTGATCTACCCCGTGCTTTTGCCTTTTGTTTTTTCAATTGTTCAGTTTGTCTGCACTTCCACATTGTTTCTTTAAGCTCACAGTGATGCGTCAGTCGACAGTAAAACAATCTATGAGAGCGCAGCAGGCAGTCACAGCTCATATTCTTTTACACAAAGTTCGAAGCTCAGCAATCTTCCTCATCCAGCCCACTGGCCTTTATTGATTTCAGCTGGATGGGGCCATTCATTGCTTTAACTGGAGCAGAAATGCATGTTCCTGTCACATGGCAGAATAAGAACTGGTAGCCAGTGATGCTGTTGGTGAAAAGACTCAGATACAAAATGACTTCATTAGAGTCATCTGTTAGCAAATGATATTATGTTCAAGTCTTTTACGTCACCAAATTACAAAATATGTCATTAAATATACTGTCATTCATTAGACAAAAATTATTCATGACTGAATTATGTGTTTAGAAAGAGTTAGATATTATTATATAACACTCAACAGGATTTGGCTTCAGTTGTAAAGATTTATCTTGATTTGTCTGTGTTATGGCAATATTTATTTAACAACAGAGACAGAAATACGCTGGTCAAGAATGAAGGTACTCCATGGGATGATCAGCTGAGTTTTATTGCAACAACAGGAAACACAGAGAACGTGGCCTGTCTCTGTGCCTCTCTGTCAGTCTCTCCACACTGCTCACTGTCTAA